TTCAGGTTAGTCCTGGTGTTCTTTGGACACATTCTCATCGTTCTTTTGAGCAGTTCCTTGCTTTCTGGAGTGAACAATGTGGATATATATCTACCATGCATATATGTACAGTAAGTATGTGAGTATCAGGAGAATGATCTAAGAAAAACAAGTACCAGAGTGACCTAAGTACCAGAGAGAATGTCCGGGGCTATCACTGGGGCCCATGACAAGAATACTGTGGCAGGAGAGAGCAACTCTGAGCTCCACTTTTGACTTTGTCTATAACTCCCCACCAGAGGGTGTTTCCTGCCATTTCTGTCCGGAAGTATAAATACTCCTGCGTATAATCATCTTTGTGAATGGTGCAGCAGACATAAATTGGGGGATGGAGGAAGTGGTGCCTGTCTTCTGATGGTTTTCCCAGAGCCAAGACACCATGTCCATAGTCCCCCTGCCCACAACCAACATAGATCTTTTTGTAAACCACTCCTCTGGTATTAGTTTGCTCAGGCTGCTATAGTGAAATGCTCAGTCAGAGTCAACCAGATATTCATTTCCTACAGTTCTGGAGGCTGGAAGTCCGAGATAAGGGTGCCAGCAGGGCTGAATTCTGGTGAGGTCTCTTTTCAGTTTGCAGAGGGAAACTTCTCTTGTGTTCTCACGTGGCCTTTCTTTCTTCTTTCTTTCTTTCTTTCTTTCTTTTTTTCTTTCTTTCTTTCTTTGACCAGAGATGAAACTCAGGACCTTGCGCTTACAAGGCAGGGGGCAGAACCACTGAGCTAAATCCCCGGCCCTCACATGGCCTTTACTTTATGTAAACATGAAGAAAGAGAAAGAGTGTTCTTCTACCTCTTCCTATTTATTGATTTGTTTACTTCTTTATTAATTTATTTTTCTTTTTGCAGTCCCGAGGATCACCAGTGCTATAGGCTTAGGGCCCACCCTTATGACTTCACTTAGCCTTAATTTTCTCACAGTAGTCCCTATCTCCAAATATAGCCACTTTGGGAGTTGAGGCTTCAATAAATAAATTGTGAGAAGACGTGGTCCATAGCATTGTTATGCTTGTCTGACTCTTCCTGGACGTACTGACTGGCTAAAGAGGAAGCACCTGAGCCAAGCTTGTCCAATCATATCACCTCGCTCTCAAAGCCAAAAAACTGGTCCAGCCCAGGGGGCATAAATTTGGCTTCCCGGGGGGATTTCATTTTTTCAATTAAGAGCAAGAGTCATAAATATTTTTAAACTTAAAAGACTAGACAGTAAATATTTTTTTGCTTTGGGGAGTGCTATGATTTGAATGCCCCCTCTAAAACTCATGTCGAAATTTTTGCCATTAACGGTATTAGGAGGAGGCACTTTTGAGAGGAGAAGGCAGGGAGGCTCCTCCATCACGGGTGGATAGGGATTGTCGTGAAACAAACAGTCCAGCCCCTTATCACCTTCTTGCCTTCTGTCAAATGATACCTTCCACCTTGTTATGATAGAGCAGCTAGAAGGCCCTCGTCAGAAGCCAGCACATCGATATTAGACCCCCCAGCCTCTGGCGCTGTGAGCCCATGCATTTCTGCTTTGTATAAATCACCCAGTCTCGGGTATTCTGATGTAGCCGCACAAGGACAAGAGGAAGGGGCCATGCATTCTCTGTCACAGCTATCGATTTCATGCTAAACTCTGCCCTTGCAAGTAAAAAGCTCTATAAGTTCACCCATAGATTTTATAGACACTGAGTCCAGCATGTGGTTTCAGTATCTATTTGTGTAGGTGTGGGAGGAGGTTGTTTTGGTTTTTTATTTTTAAATAGAGTCCCTCTAAATTACCCCGGAGAGCTCGAATTTGCAATCCTACCTCAGCCTTCTGATACATTTTCCACCATTTTCAGTGGTTCCACTGTCTTTTTTTTTAAGTTTAAAAAAATTTTATTAGTACATGTTTGTAGTATATAATGTTTACATTCCTTGTAGGGAGTTGGAATGTGTATATAACACATCTTAATTCCTTTTTTCATCCCCTTCCTCAATCCTCCCATCCCTTCCGTCCACCTCTTGATCTTCTTCTCATCTGAGAAAGATCTCTCTATTTCCTATTATCTATCTTTTATTTTTCTCTTTATTTTATATTTTGTGTTTCTCATATAAGAGAAAGCGTGCAATATTTAGTGTGTATTATTTATTGCACTTAACATTATGGTTTCAAAGTGCATCTACTTTCCTACAAATGACTCAAGATTTTCTTTATGGCAGAGTAGTACTCCACTATATATAAATACCACATTTTTTTTATCCAGTCATCTGTTCATGGACATACAGACCACTTCCAAGATTTAGCTATTATGAATTGTGTTGCTATGAACACAAGTATGCATGTATCACTGTAAACTGATGTCTTTAATTTGGGGGGAAGACAACTAGAAGAGGAATAGCTGGGTCAAATGGAATTTTAGTTTTAATTTTTTTGAGTAACCTCCATACTGATTTCCATAAAGGTTGTACTAGTTTACATTCCTATAAATGATGAGGAAGGATTCCTTTTTCCTCCACATCCTTGATAGCATTTCTTATTATTTCACTTTTTGATGATAGCTATTCTTTCTGGAGTAAGATTCAGTGTTTCTTTTGTTTTTGTACCAGGGATCAAACTTGGGACCTTGTACTTGAGAGGCAGGCATGGTGCCTCTGAGCTAAATCCCTAGCCCGAATTCAGTGTTGTTCTAATTTACATTTCTCTAATGGCCATACTGACCATTTGTGCTTCTGTGAAGTGTCTGTTCATTTCAGTTGCCCATTTTTTGAATGGGTTTTTTATCTTGGGTGTTCAATTTTTAGTTCTTTATGTATTCTAGATATTAGTCCTCTGTCTGAGGTTGTCTTTTCACTCTGCTGATTGCTTCTTTTGCTATGCAGAAGGTTTTCAATTTGTTATGGTCCTATCTGTTGATTCTTGGTACTATTTCCTAAGCAACTGAGGTTCTGTTCAGAAGATCCTTGCCTATGCCTATGATTTCAAGAGTTTTACCCATTTTGTCATCCAGAAGGTGAAGCATTTCTGTCTTAACAGTTCTTTGGTCCATTTTGATTTTAATTTAGGATGTGGTGAGAGATAGGGGTCTAGGTTAAATCTTCTGCACGTGTATAGCCCATTTTCCCAGCACCATTTATTAAAGAGACTATCTTTCCTCCTGTGTGTTTTTGGCCCCTTTCTAATAGATCAAATAGTTAAATGTGCGTGGGGTTAGCTACTCTTACTGTGGTTGTTACTAGGAGATGACCGACCAATACCAGAGAAGGACAGCTTGGTCTCAGCAGGTACATCAGGATCACCAGGAGTCTCTCTCCAGCCTCTGTCTCTCACCTCAGCTTCCCTGTGGGCATCAGCATCCTTCCTATGCCCCAGGCTTTCCAGGGAAGTCTGAAGCTATGGCTCCTCCAGAGTGTAGTCAGCCAGCGTAGCAAGGGTGCTGGCACTCAAAGAGAAGACAAGGTCAGAGACAGAGGCTGGAGAGAGACCTCTGGTTACACTGAAGTACCTGCTGGAATCTAGCTGTCCTCTAGAATTAGTCAGCCAACTCCTCGTAACAACCACGGTAAGAATAGCCAATAATTATTAGGACTGATTGAGTGCCAGGTACTTTTTAGAGCTCCTCACAGACATTAATCATTTTCAAACTTAAACCACAACCCATGACAGGGAGAGGAGTACTCATGAAATCTCTTCAAGAAGTTGGTACTAACATTTTAAAATAAACAAAACAGGCTTCTCTAGACCAGACTAAACTAGAACAGAAGGTATCAGAGCATATCACTCATAGTAAGGACAAATGTTGTTTTGTAGACTTATGTTTTACATTTACGTATGCACTGGGTCATGACATGAAATATCTTTCTTATTGTCAGCTACTTACTGTCTTTGTCCTAATTCACTGATTCCACCCAACAGCCCAACCAAGGAGATATGACTTTAAGCTCCATCCTACAGATAAGGGAAGTGGAAGAAGCGAAAAGTGACCTCACTTGCTGTGGGATACACTGCTAGGAAGTGGGCCAGGAAGGATCTATAGCACCCCCACACACACACACACACACACACACACACACACACACACACTTACAGAGTTTGGCTTCTGAGTCTTATTCTAATATCTGCCTTAATATCCATGTAATTATTCAGTGATTTCCCTTGTGGCTTGAGCTTCTTCAAGTTGTATTTCTGTGCTGTGAAAACCCAAGAGTCCTAAAAAATTGAATGAGGGAGGAGAAAGTCTGAACAGAGCTCTTGCTCTGCTTGACCAAGCTTTAGTCAAGTTCTTGAATCTCCTCCTAGGCTTTTCTTGTGCATTTTCTCAAAAACTCAGCTTCATGGGAACACAGCTAAGTTGGTTTAGCAAAAATTCCCCAGCCTTGATATTTGATCTCCCTTTATATCCAACCAGTTCCTCATCTTCCACCATCTTCCAGTAATGTGAGGTGGCAACTGACCATTCTGGCCTGTCATCAGCAAAAAGACTATTAAATTGGTTTAGCCAAGATCCCCTCTTCATAATTTTTCATTTATTGATCCCACCCCGCTCCTTGGCTGTTAATCCCCACTTGTCCATATTGTGTTTGTAACTGAGGCCAACCTGTCTCCCCCTGTTGTAAAATCCCATTGCAGTGGCCCATGTGTATTGTGGCGGTCCTGAACGAAGTTTACCTTACATCATTCCAAGAGTATCACTTCGTTGAATCATTAATTTCTTTAGTAGGGCACTGTATTTGGGAAGGGAGGCAGGTCCTGGACTAGGTTCAGTCTGGAGCTGGCCAGAGAACTTCCAGGGGATCTGCATCTTTCTGGGTCTCTGTTTGCTCCTCTGGGTAAGTGAAGATGTCGATAATGTCTCGCTCAATCTAGGAAAGGACCAATCCTGTCTCAGCTTGAGGATTGGCAAGAGGCAGAGATTGCTTTTGCAAAGGTGTAAAGGAAGCTCACGCATCTGGAAATAGAGAGACTAGCCAACTGAGATTTAGGGCAAAGCCGGTGTCATGGGGCCGCACAGTGGAGACAAGGAGAGTGGGAAGATTCCATTTGGGGAGGTTCCCCAGTGTCTGAAGGTACAGGCAGGCATTGCCTATGAATGAAACTTGATGACTCCACAGCATGGTGCTTCCTTCACAGGCTGCTCACAGATCAGTCAAGTATGTTGAACCTGTGACCCAGGACTAGACAGTGGGGAGGCCCAATGTCTGACCTCAGCAGTGGCTTCAGCTGTTCCCAAGGCTGCACAGTAAGCTCTACGCAGAGCAGGAAGCCAGGAGCTTCTCAGAGGGCAGGCAGCTGTGAGGCCCCCTCTGGGAACCCAACCTTTGATCTCCTTGGCAGCCCAGGGGTCCCACTTCCTGCATCTCAGAAGGCCTCCTCAGGAAGTACTGCACAGGTCACAGGGCCCAGCCCCACTGGACAGATGGGGCCCATGGAGCACTGAGCAGCTTGGTCAATGTCACAGAGGCAACCTGTGGACAAGTCAAGACCAGCATCTGGGCCACAGTGCTCCCTTGCCCTGGACCTCTGGTTCCTCCTGTTTCCTCTCACTCAGCAGGAATCCAGTGGGGAGGGCCAACTCCTTCCCCTCGCTGTGCTGTGGGATGTCTGCTTTCAGCCAAAGCCCAGTGAGTTCAAAGGCCCCTGGATAGTAGGGGATCTACACAGTACAAGCTAGACAAGGAGTCTTTAAACCACAAAGACTACTTTATCCTTTGAGATTTTAAGTGGACAGAAGCCAGTTTCCTAAAGCTCTTCCTTCTGATGTGGCCCTTAGTAAAAATGATCACCTACAGGAGATGGGGGTGGGAGAAAACTGAAGTTTTTTGAGCTCCTACTACAATATGCTGGGGTTGGCGCCAGCTGAATCTTTTATAGACATAACAATCTTCCATGGGAGGTGTTGGCTTCTTTATTTTATAGATGAGGAAATGGAGGGACAGGGAGACACAGAAACTTATTCAAGGCCACACAGCTGGTATTTGAGCCTGAATGTGTCTAATTCAAAAACTTCAACAGTATTGGACTTTGGGTCATATCAGGGTCCCAGGGTTTGTGTTCTGGGTAATCTGAGTTTTGCCACTCTATTCTTTCAACAAACACTTGCCAAATATCTGATAGAGCCCATGTACTTGGAGCATGGATTATAAAAAATAGTCAAGACTTTATTTTGTAGTTCCTATGTGCTAGGCAGTGTCCTGAGTATATTGCCTACACAAACTCATTTAATCCCCATAACAAGGGGACGACTATTAGATATATGGGGCAATGGGAAAGCTATTAAATATTTCCATCTTACAGGGAGTAAAAGTGAGGCACTGAAAGCCTCACAAGAGGCACATCTTAGTGTCATAGCCAGGCAGCAATGGAGCTGGCATTCAAACTCTGATGCCAGAGTCCACGCTCTGGACCACTGCATTGTGCTTTTCTTAGAGGCCTCGCGAAGCTTATGCTTTGATGGGAAGACAGATTTGAATCCAAGACATTGTAATAAAGTATGAGAAGTGGCGGGTATGGGGGGTGTGGGTGTCTTAATTACTTTTTGCATTGCTGAGATAAAATACCCAACACCCAACACCAAAGTTAAAGGGGGAAAGGTTCATTTTGGCTCATGGTTTATAGAGGTTTCAGACCACAGTTGGCTGGCTCCGAAGCAGGGTGACATTGCAGAACAAGAGGAGGGCCATAGCAGAGCAAGCAGAAGACAGCGGCAGACAAGTAGTGAAGCAGGAGAAGTTGTAAGCAGCCTTCTTTCTGTCTCTTATATTCCATCGAGGCTACCCGCCCTTTGGGCAGGCAGCACTCACACCCAGGGTGAGGCACCCTTAATCCCAGCATCACATCTTTAATCCCATCATTGCAGTCATTTTTGTTGTTGTTGTTGTTGTTGTTTTGCACCAGGGATCGAACTCGGGACCTTGAGCTTGCAAAGCAGATGGCAGAACCACTGAGCTAAATCCCCAGCCGGAGCATCACAGTCTTCATCCCCGCATCACACCCTAGGTCCAGCCACCTTCAAAAAGCCCCACATGAGGCTCTGCAGGGCACACATAGGTATAAGCCACAACAATCGGACGCTGTGAGGGCCATAAAGGGCAGCTGGAGCCAGCCTGAGTGGTCAGAAGGGCTTCTGAGAGGAAGCAACAGCACAACTGATACCTAAAGAGCGAGGTGGGGGCTGAGGGTGTGGCTCAGTGGTAACATACTTGCTTGGGTTCTACCCCCAATACTAGGAAGGAAAGAAGGGAGAGAAGAGGGAAGGAAGGTGAGAAAGGAAGAAAAAAGAAAAGCAGGAGGGAAGGAAAAAGAGAAGAAATAAAAAATGAAGGAAGGGAAACAGAGAGAGGGAGAGAGAGAGGAAGGAAGGAAGGAAGGAAAAAGCAATCAATATATGGCAAAAGGAGTGTAATCACTATGATTGGCTTAGAGCAATCACAATTCCGTATTCCAGGTCTGAAAAGGGAGCTGTCCCAAGAGCTTAGTGTCCAGGGGGCGGGACCAAAGAAAGCAGGCCTTTCCTGAGAAGCTCACACACTATTGGTGGGGATGCAAATCAATACAACCAATGTGCAAAACTGCACAGATTCCACAAAAAGCCAGCATTAGAACTGATCCAGCGATCCCACTACCTGGCACAGATCCAGAGGACTTGAAATCAGTGTGTTGCAGAAGCATCTGCATTCTCATGTTTATTACAATTCACAATAGCTAAGATGGGGAATCAACCTCAGTGCTCATTGCTAAGTACATGAATAAAGAAAATGTGGTCTATATGCCCAATGGGGTGTTATCCAGCCACAAAAAGAATTAAATTCTGTATTCTGTAGCAACATGGATGGAGCTGGAGAACATTATATTTAAGTGGAATGAATCGAGCACAGGAAGACAAATACCACATGTTTTCATTTGTGTGTGCAACCAAAAAGTGGATCTAAAGAAGAGAACAGGGGCCAGGGATTTAGCTCAGTGTTTCCACCACCTGCCTCGCAAGCACAGGGACCTGAGTTTGATCCCTGGTACAAAAAAAAAA